TGTGTGCAGATGTCTGTTGCAGACATGTTCCCATTCCCCGGAATTGCTAACTGATTTCACCATATATGAAGTCATAATATCTATAAACTGATTTAGCATAAGTAAAGGAAGTTTACCACTGGCACACAATTGTATTACCTATTATGGAGAGGTTAAGGTCTGCTCTAATAAAGTCAAGTGTCCCCAAACCACAATTTAATTAACAAAAAATTATGTTTTTGTTCTGTATCAATGACAACCCCTCCATCTGTCTCCTCCTCTCTCCTCTCCGTTATTAGCAGATAGCGCTACATTAGAGATAAGCAGGACAATGGCCAGAGTGAAGGCCTGGATCACAGTTGTTTTTTATCTCTCACCTCATCTGCAGCCTGTGGTGTCTCTGTCAGAGGATGTTGTTAAACCAAGTCAAACACTCAAACATCCTGTGGCATCACCCTGCCTACAGCCCCACATCCCTGCCACACTCACAAAGACGCACACACATACACACACACCTCTCCTTTATGACAGTTCACACTTGGCTGGGGTCTGGCCACTCTGGACAGTTCACGAGCCCAGAGATGCTGTTTGCAGAGGAGTCTGGATTTCTTTTGGAAGAAATATGGGAGATTCATACTAACATCTAGTTAAACCAGGCCTAAATACTGATTACATAAAGGCAAGACGAGAGATTTTATAATGAAATGAGTAAGCAAAAGAGTAAACAAAAGGCAAAGATGAAGACTAATGGGCCAAATTCAAATTCATTTATTGGCAACATTAAAATGATGACTCAGTGTGTAAAATTCATCAACTAAATTCAGAGTGAACTTGTGGATCTTTTTGACCAAGTTTCATCAGCAGTAGCCCTCAAAATGCTTACACGATTGCACTCACACACACATCTCCTCTGTGAAGGGAGCTGGCCCCAGTGCAGGCAGGTTAATATCAGGAGCACTTGACAACAATGGTGTGTTATGAGGTGCTGCAGCGGTAATAAGGTCTTTGTTGGGACTTTAGAGCACAGCCACATCACATCATTACTCATCCTGGGAGACCAGTTGCCAGTCGGCATGGCAACCGGGACTTGGCTAAAGCCAGAAGCAAGACCAGAATCTCAATGCCCGGAGGCAGAACACACACACAAAGAATGTTCTAGTGGAAGGAAAAAGTTTACAAGTGGCCATGGTGACCCCAGACCGCAGCCTCCGAGATGGGATAGTGTTGATCTAAAACCCAACAAATTAAAGAAAATAATATCTTTACAGGAAAGTCTACCTTAACATGAGAAGTGTGAAGTTGTTCAATGAATTGCAAATTCACTTTCACAGCACATTTTAATCAGATGTTTACGTACATTTTTGCACCACATTGTCCAACATTTTATCAAAATGCAAAGTAAACTTCCGATTAGTTCAGATAAACAGGGCTGAATGGATTAGCCAGTCAAATAGGAAATGGATTCAATTCAGTCCCCTTCCATTTCCATCTGCACTCATGTTGTGTGTAAGAATGGACAGATTAGGAGCAGACAGTGCAGTCAGTGGAGGTATGCAGCGGTGAAAGTTTTGTCCCGCAGGTTGTTGGGTGTGTTGGGTCAGTGTGGAGCGGTCAGCAGCTGCTGCTTGGCCTAGGTCCCACAGTTCCCAGGCTGGGGGGATTGACAGGCCAGTAATAAAATCAGGCGCCCTGGTTGGGCTGTGTGCGGCCCATTGTTCCCCCAGCAAGGCCCACGGCTGCTGTTTACTTTCTCCCATATGCATTATTCAACGGCACAGGAGCTCTCGGAGAAAGGGGCCCCATTCAGGGATCCTCTTGCCCTTGTTTTGTTTTGCTAATTTTCAATTAAAATAAACCATCTCTTGCCAGTGCCATGGCTGAGTGGGGAAAGAGAGAGGGACACTGTCCCTGCCATTTGGGCCGTCTGAGGAGATTAGACCAAATGTATAAATGAGAAGCAAGTGGGATGTATCATTTATACGGTCAGTGATATGTTTTTCTATAGTAGGATTTAAATGAAGACAACGAGCAGGGTTGCAGTTTCAGTTCAGAGCATAGGCTGGCCTTCATTTATGTTATTGTTGTTAAACATTTCTGCCAGCATGACCTCATTTTTATAAGCGATTAAATATTTAAACAAAAAATCAAATATCTTCAGATTTATTTTCAACCTGTCAAAAAGTGCAGTTTTGTTCTACTGAAGCAGATTATGAATTTCACCCTTGAGGTTGCAACAGGATTCCCATATGTTAGGGGAAAGTGTGAACTAATCACAAAGACAATGACTTTTCAATAATGACTCCCAAAGGTCATTAAATGAAGCTAGCCAGGACAGCCTGGACTAATCAATAAGTCCAGTGATAGCTCTCTTTTTTTTTTCAGTTGCCACTTTCACACAGGAGGGGGCTGAGCCAACCTCTTGGAGTGCAGGGACAGATGCGGTGACAGTGGGGAACTAGCAGAGTTAAAGATTCACCACACATCTGTCACTTCAGCTGGGGCGACAGCTCATAGTCGGCCCCCACTGACAGCCTGCCTGCCTGCCTGATGCCATGCCTACCTGTGGCTGTGGTTTGGTTTGTTTCTAAGCTTTACCATCTGCCAATCCTTTGAGGTCTCTGTTTGCCTGATTCCCTATATATGTCCTATAATTCCTTGCTTTAACCTTTCCCATTCTATTTCAATTTTCTTATTACATAACCCCCCAATAACACTCCTACTACACACACACACACACACACACACACACACACACACACACACACTGATATCTCACATCCTCCTCTAAAATTACCCCTTTAAAAAAGTCTGGAGAGCAGTCCTAATTGGCTGGCTTCCAAAGCCCTAACTCTCACTATCTGTCAAATTCTGATAATTACAGAGTTTAGCAGCAACCTGTTGTAGCCTGTTTTGTGTCTTACAGCAGCCAAAATTCATTCAACAAAATCATTTGCCCCAGCATATACAGTACATGTATGTCATCTTCTACCTTATCAACTGAGGATCTGCTTCTGTCTGTAAAGAGAAATGGTTTCTCTGTACCCACACTAGTCCGTTAGCGTCTGGTGAGTGGGGATGTGAATGTGGAGGGCCTCTTGGCTTGGCTGGACACAGTCTGTTCCCCTGCTGGGTGCAGGTGAGCTCTCAATGCAGCCCTCAGCACCTGCCCTCTTTGTTCCCTTGTTGATGGCTTTATGGCATGAAGGGGATCCGTCTGTCTGGCTCTCATAAAGCTAGCAGCGCGAGGCCTAGTAAAAGCCACACTGCTGCCAGGGCATTGTGTGGGGCCCCCATGGCTCCCAGAGTGACCACACCAGCCAGTGAGAGAGCCTAGTTTAGTGGCCACAAGAACTGATGCACATGATTATAGCATACATCCAAATAGGCATTTACATCCACACACAAAAAACAAATGCATAAATAACTGCATACATGTAGACAGAGGGTTCCCCAGAGCTGTATAATGATCAGTACTCCCAGTGTCATTTCAAAACAATAACTGTAATTTTTCTTTATTCCTCACACCTATACTGTGAAAAACATACCAAAATTACCAAAGGAAGTTCAGTGTTTACTTTCTGGATTTTAAAACAAAAAATAATAACAATGATGCTAATGTAGGAGCAGGAAAGTAACTAAGTACATTTACTAGGTACTTTTCTTGAATGTTTATATTTTATGCTACTTATATTTCTGCCTATTTGATATCAGAGGGAACTACTTTATTTTACTCCACCACTTAATAGATGTAGTTACATACAAATCATCCTGTAAAATATCCAATGCTATGTTATGTATTAAACTACCCAAAAGCAGGCTTCGCCTTGATCAGCTTCAACATTAAAATGCTGCTTAAGGGAGTACTCACAATCACACCATGACTCAGTACACACATAGCAATTTAACTTAAATATAAGTATTATTTGATAAGATAACAGTTGTTTAATTTACTTAACATTTGTGACTTCAAGACTTTTGTAACAAAGACTTTTTTTACATTGTGATATTTCCACTTTTACTTAAGAAAGTATAAGCTAATTCTAGTAAAGGATCTGAGTATTTCTGCCACCACTTAAAATAAAAATCTTGAAAATATCTAATTTTTAAAAAATGTTTTTTTCATCACTTGTGTGTAACATGAGCAGTTTTGATCACAGCACAGTGGTCAAGTCAATGTAGCTCTGACTCTGTATTGTAGTGCTACATCATGAATTCTACACAATAAAAGTTCAGGTTAAATTTATCATATCTAAGTGCAAACACAAGAAATATCTTTGCTATTAAGGACTTGTATAGCAACACACATTATATATATATGTACACATATATAAGTACTTCTTAAGTGTAAGGCTACAGTGTGTCTAAGAGGGTTTGTTGAAACCTTCTCATCAGTTTGAGTCACAAACCCGATAAAGCAGCTCAATGGCCGTGGGAGGTCAATGTTAGCACAGAAATAAGCCCTACATTAATGTTTAATTTATATGATTTTCCTGGATATGAAATCTTACTGATAAGCTCAAGCAAATTAAGTGGCTGAAAGGAGGGCCATAAGCAGCTTGGTATTTGAGATCGGGTCTTTGAGTGGGAGCATCTTAGAAACCAATTACCAGACAAGAAATAGATCATTATTTTTTCTTAGAGGATTGGGTTGTGGGGATGTGGGGGGGCAAAGGTGGTTGTTAAAAGGAAGGGAGGGTTTTCTAGATTGAGGAGGGAGGGCACAATAAAGACATAATCATCTACCCTCAACTTTTCCTATCCAACTTTCAGATTTTAATTTGCCGTCTGTGAAGTGGTACCTAATTTACTTTCGCCTTCAATGCACCATTGTTGCCGCTGCTGAGATTCAGAGCTTCCTCTCTTAGCTCACCTCGGCGTGAAATTGGTTTAATGAAGCTGAAAGGTATGGGGCTCTCACAACACTGTGGATTCCAGTGACACTGCTTGATCCTCCCACCCCTCCTCTCAGCCCCCCACACCCCCCACCCACCGACCCACCCACCGACCCAACTCTTTGCGCATTCGCATTACGATGACAATTTAAAACACACCCCACAAAAGATCCCTATCTCACACATTACATCAGTGCATATTACTGTCCCTTTCAGAGCACCAACTCTCAGGCAAAAGCTCGGGGAGGGGGAAAGTGACTGGCTGATCAGTTTGGGTATATGGCATGCATGGTGCACTTCAAATTATCAGCCAATAGCAGTATTTAAAATGGATAAGAATCTTGGCTAGTAAAAGAGACAAAGAGAAATAAATAAAAGGAGGTGAAGTAAATATGAAATGAAAAGAACTTAGAGATATGAAGCGGTGAAACTAATCAGGGAGAAACCTTGCCTGTTTTCCCACCTCTTCCAGTCTGACCCTGTGAAAGGTATTCTCCTGTTACCTGTTCTCCTGGGTGTGGTTTCTAATGGGAATGGGAAGGAAGTCCTGTGGGATTATTGTGTCTGTGTGTGTACGTTGCATTAATATGATCCCCTTAAGTCATATCACTTACTTCTTCTTGTCCCCTTTTAGGACAATTGAATGGAAATGCATCTGTAACCAAATATTCCAGCCTGTACCACTCATTTCTGGTTTGAGGCCCAGTTTGGAGCAAGAAGTTTGTGGAAAAAACAGCAGATAGAGAAAAAGAAAGTAGGCTATACGTGAGCGTATGGAAACAGCAGGATATCAGGGTCGTGTCAGAGGTGAGGAGGGAGTTTGATGAGCAGCTGTTTTGTTAAAGGATAAGCTCATTAGATAATTTTTGTAGTATGTCTTTAAACAAAAGCCATCTGCCTAAATGAAAATTAAAACAGGGTTTGCTTGATGTAGTAATTCAAAAGATCCCCTCCTAATACAAGTCCATTGTAAGTGGTTTGGGACAAAATCCACAGTTCCATGTAGTGAAAAGTTTATCTGAAGCTAATGAGGCTTCAGCATTTTCAACTATCTTTGTTCAGCTTTGTTGTCCTTGTTTTTAGCCGTATGTCTATTTCTAGCTTCCTGTAAATTACTTTTGGAGCCAAGTCAAGTCACATTCCTTGTATTTGTACACATATTTGGCCAATAGAGCTGTTTCTGCTTTGACAAGCTTAGACTCATAGCGTCATATAGAGATTTTGTTCCACATCACTTATATTGAAAGCACATTAGGAAGTGATCTCTTGATGGCCACTAAGCAGGAGGAATGGTTACAGCTGGCAAAACCTGTTTAAATATTCATATGGGCACCTACACTATTGTTTTCAGACAGACTTGAAAAAATGTGAGCCTATCCCTTAATGCAGAGACAGACACAAAGTTTGACAGAGAGGCTGCAAAAAAAAGAAAGAAAGAAGAGGAAGAGCAAGTTCAAACTCTTTAAGAGAAAGAGAACAGCCTTAGAAGACCAGGGAAGGGACAGGGCTGACTAACAAAGGTTTCTTTACACTGTAATGACATGGATATTATGCTGAACTTTGGCTGCCGTAACTCTAAAAGAACGACCACTTTCACTGCTGTGGAGCTCCGGCCAGCAGCATGCACTGCTGTTTGTCTTTCAAATGCCATTGTGGGTGAGGCCACTAGTGTACGCACAAAGTGCCTGTTACAACTTTCCATTCACTGTGGGATTGTGAAACTCACAAAGGAATGTCAAATTGCCGTGGTATGATTTTTGTGCAATTTCAAATGTCCAACAGTCCTCTTGTCGGAGCTGGCGAATGAGTTTTAAACACTTTCTTGTTTCCTGTGATTTCATAGTCTTAGACGACAGTTTAATGATAGCACAAAAGTGTCTCTCTATATATATACAGTATGTTGTTCTCACACACACATTTACACAGAGAGTAAACTGTCGCTAAACTGTTGTATTTAGTTTCTTCCCAAGGTAAAACCTGATCTGCCGACTGGGAAGATTTCAGCTGAACAGAACCACGAGAGTGCTATCTTTTACAGGTAATTACTCAATTATCAGTAAACACTGTCGCTGGAGACACAATGCCATAGAGGGGATCTCACAAGCTGCTGAATGATTCACTTCAACACCACAACAGCATGCATTCACAAATAGGATAGCCATGTGAAGACAGGAAAAATCATTACACCCGCTTATCAGTACATTCGTGTTTCATGATACAAGATAAGAAATTAAGTGCACACTCAAACAATACATGTGTTTTTGGCTTGATCTATTAATTCCTTTGTAGCAATAAAACCGGTTCCTTTGATTTAAACTACTCTGCATGTATCAAACCTGAATTCATGTCACTATAAATAAAAGAAGATCTCTCTGTTTAATTAGATATTACAAGCATTACACAGACAAACTGAACACTAATCATTTACCAGGTCAGCGGGGACATTACTGCATTTTACCACTAGTGGGAGCTAGTAAACAGACAACATGAGGCTCCCAGGAGACCCTGCAGGCTCCAACTCAGAAAAAAAGTTCTTGTTTGAGCAGTGTTGGGAACCAACATTGATTTTATAGGTTTGTTTAAAGACACATAAGACACAGACAGCCAGGTAGATAAATAGATAGATAAAGTTGCAGGGGCTGGGTGTCAGGTTAGAGTGATGCAGGCTAAAAGGATAAGCAAACCCAGAGTTCTTTCATTAGTCTGTAAACATTTAGGCAGAATTAACAGAGTGGATGATATGTTACACTTGACCTGAAATACTGAGGTGTGACTGAGCTTTTCATTATTCTTATTTTAGGTTGTGGTTGTTGAAAAAGTTAGTCAGAGTGCACCATCTTTGCTTCTGGAGCATGAAACCACACACAATTACCCACACGACCAAGGATGGAAACCCCATATGGTGATACCTGCCTGTGGTCCATGGTCACACACCTGGCCTAAAGCCACAACCCACTAGTCTTTCCCTGCGGTCCTATACACTCACCACATAGGTTAACACGCACTCAGTAAAACACTCTCCTCCACTAAAGCAGCCCTGCAGGCCTTCTAAATCTCTCCTGAGACAACCTGCCGTGAGGTAATGAGGAATTAGAGGGCTGGAAGGAGGTTTCCTGAAGATTTACAGGTTTTAACTCCTGTTACTGTCACCCAGGAAAAGCCACAGGCCTGTGGCTATCAGTAACAACAACAACCACCTCCTAACCAACACAACACCACCTTACAACTACTGGGAGATTTGTAAAACAGGGGAGGGAGTGGGGGTAAGACAGGGTAAGCCATACCTCTCAAGAGCTCATGTGTGCGTTAGTTTACATCATGCTGTGACCTCTAATATCCATCCATACCTACTACTAATGCATCACCATTCAGAAAAAGTTGACCAAAGATCAGTTGGTTAATTAAAAATCCTCTATTGCTCCCATGCCACATATGTTCCTAAATGCCAACATTTAAACTGCATAGAGTTAGAAAATGAAGGCACAACTCAGGTTTGTTTCCCTATTTTTATTTCTTAAAACCATAATCCTGGTATTGATTTTGGCCTTTTTCTGTATACCCAAAATCCACCACATCTAATTGTCAGTTGGTTTACCTAACATTCAAAAACATTGGGATGTTGCCGTATTTACCTTTAAATGTATATACACTAATATGGTTAAATTTGTATGCAGTTCCCTGAGTGCATGTAGTGTGTTTCAGACAGAACTTGTGTGACAAACCTCTGTGGCCACTCCTCATTACAGTTTGCTTCTCCCAGGAACGAGCTGGCAAATACTCAGAAATTAGATAGTTTGATCTCTCTGTGAGCCTTTATTTACTTCTAATGTTCTAGTTTTTTCTTTCCTGTTCTTTAAAATAAAAGTAATTATTTAAAAAAAAACATAATCTTCCTCATTATGCTACACTAAGCATCTTACCAGGTCCTCAAGGAGTTTGTTCATAATGGTTACATCAAGGTGAAAAACCTTATGCTGTAATACAGAGACAACACATTTAGCAACTACATCTAAGGTAAGAGTGAGCAGTTGTTTTGCAACTGTGCAATGAGAAGAAGGAGCCAAATCCACCACCTGATATAATCTTATTGGACAAAAAGATAAGCAATGTCTTTGATGTAAAGTCAAAAGAGAGACTGCTATTGGTAAAACAAACCACCCAAAATAACTACAAAAGGATCTCCCGGTGTGATATTTGAAATACTTTTGTGGTAACAGACTACATACTGCACTACCACAGACGTCAACATCAACCAAGCACATGCACACCAAATCTGACTCATTCAGAAGCCATGAAAACAACCGCAGGTTTAAAAACCGTGCACTGATTCACATGCCAAATGGCTGTTGAAAACCATCATAACTCAACTTTTGAAGAGTGATTCTCGTTCTATGAGTTATCTTGAGCTTCTAACATTATGGTTATTGGTTATTTGAGATCAAACTTTGCAAAAACACTGATTGAAGTACACAGTGAAAATTTATGTGAATTGACTTGCACATGCATCCCATAGTGGGGATGCACACTGACAATGACAGATACTGAATGAGAGATAGGAGGATCCCTCTATCAGTTACGACAACCGTGAGCCATCTAACAGAGGGGCCCTGTGTTCAGCGGATGGGCTTACACCCTGGACAGGTATGTACTGTGCAATTACCAGACTAGCTCAGAGCATGCAGTAATCAGTAGGTGCTGTACCATTAAGTATGGGGGCGGTGTGCAAACAACTTTAAAGAGAGACCACTAGTGTCAGGTGTCGAGATTTACTTCACCTGACAAATTTTGCCTGCTTTACAACTGTGCAGGGTGTTCTCCGAGACGAGGACAGTCTTATAACATGACATGGGCCGCGGTGGGTGTGCCCAGGCATGGGAGAATGTGTGTAGGTGTGCTTTCAGTTTTAAAAATAGGGCATGCCTGAGAGACAACTGACAAACCGAACGCGTGTGTGTTTATGTTTGTGTGGAGGAAGAGCGTGTGAATGTGTCTCGTTCAAGTCTAGCTCTGACCTGAGGCACAAGAGAGTGTGACAACTCCATCATCAGACGCCAAGTAAGCACAGGAAAGTGTCATGGGAAACATGAATTTGGTGGATGGATGGATGTAAATATGAGCAGGTACATGGTTGAAAACACATGAGATATACATAATTTTTACCGGGAGTGTGCGTGTTTGTGTGTATGCATGCGTGTGTGTTCAGCCATGTCTGCAGGGTGAGGTGGAGGCCGATGCTTTGGCAGCAGGTCTGGCACGTCCTTCACGCCCAAACCTGCAGAGGGGGGGGGGGGGGGGGGGGGGGGGGGTAGAAAGCAAATAGGTGTGAGAGTCTGCATGCCTTCTTGTAATATGCTTCACTTACCTCACCATCACTAAAAACTCCCAGCACCGTCAAATTAAATACATGTCCAGTCACCTCAATACTGTGTTCCATTTTTAAGTGGGATACAGTCGTTAATGTAAAAAAATTATGTTCACACACCAAAAAAGCTGGGTGGTTACAGTTTCCACATGTTACAGTGTTGTGATTTTACCTGTTTTTGTATAGATTCATATCTAAACATTTCTCACATCAGAGCAATAAGCAAGCATGTGGGGTATCTTTGTTTTGACTTAACATTTCAGTCGGGCACATCGCTGTTGATGAACATATTGTATTTCAGCAGTCACGCGTTTCAGGAATGTGGATGAAATGTATTTGTGGAGCCATTTTTTAAAATTTGAATTAGTTTCCGCTCAAACTTTTATTTTTTATTATTTTTTTATGTTACCATAATTTAACAGTAACAATAAGCTTTATTGGCATGTCCTATTAACATAGGCCTACACCTAATTATATGTTGTGTGTGTAGCACGAAGGACCTACAAATTTTGTTTCATTATGCAGCCTTGTGCTGTATAATGACAAATAAATAATCTTGTACCTTGTACTGTCCGCACAGCTTTTATTTGGATTTAAGCTCCTAGAGATTCAGTTTCATGTTACTATATCAAACACGTTGCCATCAATATCACCAGCTGGGTTCCTCAGTCATCAAGCTGGTTTAGTATAGTGTGATCAAGATTATGGGTTACATTTCCAAATTAAGTCAAACCTCTGCTGCGGATATCATTAGATAAAAGGATTTCCTGAATGATATCCAGATAATACGTACACTGGAACACATCTAAAGAGAGTATGTGTCCCTTAAGGCAGTAAATCACTCTACATTGTGACCAAGGCACAAAAGTGACGTTGGAGAGTGTATCAACTCCATAACCTCAAAGGAAATCTCTATTCAGTGGCCATAAAAGAACGCCTTAGCCCACTATCACTGTGGGGCGGGTAACAGAAAGAGAGAATGGATTAAGAGAGAAAACAGAGAGGAGAAAAGTGGAGATTGTACAGGTGAAGTCCTATGGCTATGGAGGTTTGCTCAGCTGTGCGGTATTCTTTTCTGCGCCCCACCCAGTAACCAAAGGCTGGGATATCTTTCCATTTCACTCTTTTCCATCCCTCGCTCTCTTTCATATTTGCACAGGTGAGAGGACAGCAGTCCAATAGATGTGGGTTGAGACTTGAAAGTCAGGTTTGCCTGGCTAGTGGAAGGAGTTCACCTGTGGACTGTGGATGGATGGAGATCTAATGGTGGGGACCCAGCCAGCCTTTTGTCTGGAGAGACAGACAGCAAACACACACAACAAACAAAAACAGAAGGATTCAGCAAATCACTAAAAACATCATTAGACATAATGACCTGTAGCGCAGTGAAAGTGTAGAGGCCACAACAACTGTATTAGCAATTGAAATAAGAGATTGCAGCACGAAGGACACAAACCTGTCAGACACAAATGATTTGAGAGAGACATACAACAACATGTCAGTAAAAAGGGAGTGACTGGATGAAGGGTGGACAGAAAACAGGAAGGCAGGTGGAGCTGTGCAGGAGTCATAAGGGTGGGGAGGTTTGGCTCCAAGGGCCAAAAGTTCAGAGTGAGGCAGAGCGAGCAGGTAACCCTAGCCACCATGTGCCAGAGTCTCACGTGTTAGCCTCATTGTCTTAACAGGTTGAAGCTCAGGTTTCTGGAGCATAGAGAGCTTCCTGGGAGATGAGGTCCAAGCACCACCACCCACCTCCTCACACATCTACCCCTTGGACCCTACCGCCCCAACCTGCAAAGGTAAACACACACACACACAATAAGCAAACGCATCCATAACACATCAACACATACACATGTAAGCATTAGGCAAATACTCAAGTACACGATCAGGCCTGAGGAACCCGTCTTTATCGGGCAAGCTCAAGCAAAGCCACCGCACATAAACTGCTCCAAGTGCACAAATAATATTAGTCCAAATCAAAGTGAGGCCTTTTTTATTACAGATAATTATCATGAGCCACTCATAGTGGCTCATGTAAGGAAAAAAACATACAGCCCATGTGATATGATGGTAAGAACTGGAGGAACGAGTTGTAAATCACCATGATTACCATTAGGCTCATGTCAAGACAGTCTCGCTCAGACACGAGGCGGGATTACCAGACATGAGGATGTTCACCAGAGGTAATTTCCTTCCCACTCTCTCTCTCTCTCTCTCTGTAGAATTCCACTAGAGGATCTTGTCTGATTCTTGGCTTAGTCAGTGAGATGTTTTTGTATTAAAGAGCATCTGATTTATAATTCCTTCCTAGTGTCCTGCAACCAATGTGTGACATATTGCAATTTTACATTTTATATGAAGCATAGTTTATACTATTTTTTCCCTTTAGTAACTTTTATTTGCATTGTGTACTTCATCTCAAAGAAATAAATGCACTGCAAAAATGTTCTTATCAAGTCAGTTTTGTCTGTAATTGAGCCCATAAAATGTTATATAATAAATGCAGCTACAGTGATATGGAAGCCTGTAGGGGGACCAAAATAAAATCACACTAACTTGAAAATGAAATTCCACAATATCATTATAATTTTATGTGTTATTTAATATTATATATTATATGTGTTACTTGAGTAAAAATAAAAATACAATAATCACATTTTTGGGTGTCCTAATACCATATTAAAATGAAAAAAGCTGTTTGACATTAGTCATAACCTGCTGTACAGTGGACAATATTTAAATGTTGATTCAAATTAGGAAATTAAAATGCAATATAAACATGACATGACATAACATGATTTGCCATTTATGCAAGTAATATTTAAGTCAAAATGAAACTGCAATTTGGAAATTAAACTGAAAACAGAATTTGCCATTTCATTTTCACCTTGACACCAAAAGAGCACGGTGAGATGTAAATATATACAGTGCCTTGCAAAAGTATTCGGCCCCCTTGAACTTTTCGACCTTTTGCCACATTTCAGGCTTCAAACATAAAGATATAAAACTGTAATGTTTTGTGAAGAATCAACAACAAGTGGGACACAATTATGAAGTGGAACGAAATTTATTGGATATTTCAAACCTTTTTAAAAAATAAAAAACTGAAAAATTGGGCGTGCAAAATTATTCAGCCCCTTTACTTTCAGTGCAGCAAACTCTCTCCAGAAGTTCAGTGAGGATCTCTGAATGATCCAATGTTGACCTAAATGACTAATGATGATAAATAGAATCCACCTGTGTGAAAACAAGTCTCCGTATAAATGCACCTGCTCTGTGATAGTCTCAGAGGTCCATTTAAAGCGCAGAGAGCGTCATGAAGAACAAGGAACACACCAGGCAGGTTCGAGATACTGTTGTGGAGAAGTTTAAAGCCGGATTTGGATACAAAAAGATTTCCCAAGCTTTAAACATCCCAAGGAGCACTGTGCAAGCGATAATATTAAAATGGAAGGAGTATCAGACCACTGCAAATCTACGAAGACCTGGCCGTCCCTCTAAACTTTCAGCTCATACAAGGAGAAGACTGATCAGAGATGCAGCCAAGAGGCCCATGATCACTCTGGATGAACTGCAGAGATCTACAGCTGAGGTGGGAGACTCTGTCCATAGGACAACAATCAGTCGTATACTGCACAAATCTGGCCTTTATGGAAGAGTGGCAAGAAGAAAGCCATTTCTTAAAGATATCCATAAAAAGTCTCGTTTAAAGTTTGCCACAAGCCACCTGGGAGACACACCAAACATGTGGAAGAAGGTGCTCTGGTCAGATGAAACCAAAATCAAGCTTTTTGGCAACAATGCAAAACGTTATTTTTGGCGTAAAGGCAACACAGCTCATCACCCTGAACACACCATCCCCACTGTCAAACATGGTGGTGGCAGCATCATGGTTTGGGCCTGCTTTTCTTCAGCAGGGACAGGGAAGATGGTTGAAATTGATGGGAAGATGGATGGAGCCAAATACAGGACCATTCTGGAAGAAAACCTGATGGAGTCTGCAAAAGACCTGAGACTGGGACGGAGATTTGTCTTCCAACAAGACAATGATCCAAAACATAAAGCAAAATCTACACTGGAATGGTTCACAAATAAACATATCCAGGTGTTAGAATGGCCAAATCCAAGTCCAGACCTGAATCCAATCGAGAATCTGTGGAAAGAACTGAAAACTGCTGTTCACAAATGCTCTCCATCCAACCTCACTGAGCTCGAGCTGTTTTGCAAGGAGGAATGGGCAAAAATGTCAGTCTCTCGATGTGCAAAACTGATAGAGACGTACCCCAAGCGACTTACAGCTGTAATTGCAGCAAAAGGTGGAGCTACAAAGTATTAACTTAAGGGGGCTGAATAATTTTGCAAGCCCAATCTTTCAGTTTTTTATTTGTTAAAAAAGTTAGAAATGTCCAATAAATTTCGTTCCACTTCATGATTGTGTCCCACTTGTTGTTGGTTCTTCACAAAAAAATACAGTTTTATATCTTTATGTTTGAAGCCTGAAATGTGGCAAAAGGTCTAAAAGTTCAAGGGGGCCAAATACTTTCGCAAGTAAGTTTCGTAATTTAAATTTTAATTGTGAATTAAATAATGTTTGCACAAATGTAAAATTTGACTATTTGGTATTTGTTGCATTTTAATTTTAAATTTGGATTTGACATTTTAATATTGTCCACTGTACAATGGGGTATGACCTTTAAAAATATGCAAATTGCATTTTCATAAAAAACAATTCTCACATATTGACAACTATAATGCTATTGTAGAATTACATTTTAATGTTTACATTATCATTTTAATAAAGTCCCTTATCCATAGATTATTGTGCAGTATATGTTGGCTTTTGGAGTGAGTGAAGTTGCCCAGCTCAATTAAGCCCCTTTTCAATTGCACAGTACCAGCTTAACCCGGCTCGACTCGCATTTGTTTGGTTTTCCATTGTGGAAAAGTTGTACCTGTACCTGCTTCCAGGTACTTTTTTTCGTATCACCTCCGTCAATCATCACTATTCACTGCATCATCATTGCGTGCGCCTGACAGAGGCCAGCAACAGAAAGTTTTATATTTTACAATTTTCTGACTTTATTTCATCACTAAATCCACTACTGAGAAATTTTGAGGTTTGAAATCAACTGTGTAGCCCACTCAGAGACCGCTGCAGCAACAACGGCAGAGGAAAACATAGCTGTAAGGTTTTGATACCGCTTATCTGTCTTTACATTCTGAGTAATGTTGAAACTTTTTAACTTAAATCAAGAGACAGCTGTATGTGGGTCGCCGGTGTGTGTGTCGCCTAATTAAGGTGGGCCTTAGCATCGTGTGTGCGTGTTTGTGGAGTCTGTCTGGTGGGGCGAAGGTTCAATCAGCCTGTACTTTGCTGGGTGTCAATAGCCACGTTTCGACCAAAGGTACGGAACTAAAATGTTCCTTCAGCCCACGGATGCGTTTCCACCGTGGTCTAAAGACCTGCGAAGATTAGGCAAATTAACCAGCTGACTTAGGCTGCAGCCATACAAAGTGATGCACAGGCATCATTATTTGTAACCACTACCATGAGCAACATTTATAAATTCAGATTTGACTGGAATATAATGAAAAACTATAGGCTTTGCTTTTCCATTAAAGCGGCTTTATTGTGTGGGAGCTATAATGACGAGACACACGATAAAGTTCGTTACACATTTAACCTAATAGTAGCCAAACAAACTGTATAAAGCCATAAAGTTCTTAAAATAACTCCAGCACAGAGAAAGCAACACAAAAATAAAATCAGTTTGGAAGGTTATTAAAACCTTCTAAAACCTTTTGTCCAACCGACAAAAGCTGTAGATCAGCTGCAGCACTCACATCTGTGTCCACCTGCGTTGGAAGAACGGGATGTTTAACGAGCTTTAATTACCTGCTGTAATCAGCTGTTCCGCTTATTTCAGAGAGGAGGCCGAATTCGGCTCCATGTAGAAACTTCCTGGCTGATGAAAACTCAAAACAACAACTTCCAACCCAGTATTTAGCGTAACTCACACTAACACACCGCTGCACGCTGGCTGCTATTTCCAATATTTTTAATGCCAACATACGATCTCAGGCGGACATCGGCGAGACTTGTGTGGCTATTTGACTGTTGATTGTGATTTATTGGTTTGCAAACAAAGGTGGAAAAGAGACAAGCTGTCGTAGAAAAACAGCCGACATTCTGCAGTTAAAGCCAGTAGCCTCTACTTGCTCATTCAGAAATTCACTGCAAAGCAAGCCCCACCCCCCCCTTTCAGAAAGTACTTCCCCCCGAGCAG